TCAGGAGCCCTTGAAGTTTAAAGCAGTTGATAAGATTCCAGATGTTGAAAATGCTTTCGAGATTGAGTAAGTTGGAGACGTTGAAGAGGTTGAGGATATCGACTGTATTTCAGCTTTTGAGGAGATTGCATTTTTGGGGACATTATTTCCTTATTCTTGCTTTAACAGATCATTGACTGCCAGCTCGGTTTGCGTCAATCTTTTCCGTTCTCCCACCTACGCCCTGGCAGTTGTGGTTGCTAAGGCAAGTTGTGCGGTTGTAATTAGCTTATGCAAATCGCCAGTGGGATAAGAGGGCAAAGAGTAGATGGATAGACCAGGACAGAAGAGGAGTGAGAGTGTGACCGTTTTCGGCAGAACGGTTGTCGATGGATCGAGTTCACTTGTCTCTGCGACGAGTTCCTAACTTGATGCGGCAAATGGCAAAACGTTTGAGAATGTACCAATTCCACCGTCTGATGCTGGGAATCATGACAACTGCTATGGCAGACGACTTCGGACTAGGTGCATTCTACATAGTCGCCCTGACAACAAGACCAAGTTGCCACAACGAGGTCAACCCACTTCTACCAATCTTGGTCTTCATATATTTAAGCATTCTTTAATTTTTGTGTATTAATAGACTTTCGATAAGACTTTACATTAACAAGCATTCTAATCACACCCAAAGACGAGGAGTGAGGCCAGTTTAATGTTGGCGTATTTTGCGCTCGTAAGAAGGACTTTAAAACTACACCTAAATCATACACGTGAAATGTGATTGGTAGCCGATTGGCCGTCGAGTTTGTCACAATCGGGTGAATAGAGAGCCTTTCATACAAGCTGACTTTGCCAAATTGTCTCCTCATCCACCCCGAACTACAATTTCGACCTCGGTCCAGTACACTTTGCAGAGAATGGCTTTTTGCACGGCCGGACTGTGTCAAGTGCAATGGAGCGTATGATCGAGCCAAGCGATCGTGGCCAAAGTAAACTGCCGATCCAGTCGACGCCCAAGACGAAAGTGGAGCAAGACGGCTAAATTAAAGTCATCACATACTACTGATTTACTGGTAGTCACGAGAACAATGGTTAATGCGAAC